ACCTTTCTATAATCAAGAAATGGATAGATATTCTAGTCTTCTCGGTTAAGGACGAATAAACCGTAGGCCCCGTCTCCTGCAGAGTTAGGGTCGTTAGGTAGATAGATAGATAGATAGTTTAATCTCAAAAACATTTGCAGCCCAAGGGCTGAGTTACACAATTTTACAATCCAAGAAGTTTAAAATTTAAAATTCAAAAACCTAATTACACATCTTATTATACCAGCAGTTTACAATATTATAACATAATAATAAATTAAATAAAATATATTAGCTATAAATGTAAATTAATTAAAATAAATGTAAATTAATTAAAAGTATCTACATTATCATCATCATCATTATTATTACTATCATTATCACGCGTGCCGTAACAAAAGTGAAGGATATCGGATCGATAAAAATCTAGCCATTAAACTACTTTGCCATAGCAAATATAAAAGTGTTCATCGTTCTGGAAGTGCGAAGGCGTGGCATATTAAATTGGCGCTTATTTTTGAAGTTATAGCTGGGTTTATGTATGGTTTTCACCTCAATCAAAATTCCTAATCATGATAACCAAAGCGTTATCCGTTGTCACACTTCTAACCTTATTCCTGTCTGACATGGATGACCCTAACGAAGTTTAGCCAACACAGCAAACAGAGAATTTATTTGTCGTTAAAAAGCCTCGGGCTCAAGTCGGGTTTTGATCTAATAAATAAAAAATCATTACCTTGCGTGTACAAAGATACAAACTATGCATTTTTTTTAATATAACAAAAGCTCACTTTTACATCTTCTCCATTTATCCTCATTTCTATATCATTATGAATTATGTCAATCGAATACTTGAATTATTGTTTGGTAAGTAAATAAATTTCAACCTTTTTTTTTCCATGCACTGTTTACAGCTTCTCTTCCATTCCAAGAGCTGCCAGATGTCGTAAAACATCAGAGAATTTTCGAATTAAAAAATCGCCAGGAACATTATAAATGGGGAAATGAAGAGGTGTATCATGGTCTTCCTGGTTACCTCCACGCAGCGACACATGCTGATATTCCAAGAGATTCGCAGTTCTCTGATGAGGCTAGGAGCACCATAAAGGAAGACATTAAGAAAGCGATTTTAAAACTCGGTCTCGGTCATTTGATGACACTCCTCGACAGCTGGGACAATTTCGATGATTTTGAAAAGATCCTTCAGAACCTTAATCGTGTTCGGCTGAAGATTGTCGAAGATGACCGATGGATGACCGACGAGGTGTTTGGGTCATTGTTCTTGAACGGCGTAAATCCGAACATGATCCAGCGCTGTGAGGAGTTTCCAAGTAATTTCCATGTCACTGAAGAAATGGTGAAGAGCTGTATGGATCGAGGCAAGACTCTTGAAGAGGAAATGAAGGTATGTTTAATCATGAAAAGCTTAGTGTAAAGTGCGCGTCTAAACAACCTGCTTCGCAGGATATTATTATAAAAAGGAACTATCTTGACAAAACGATGTTGCAGTAGAAGATATAAAGAAAATATGCGACTCTCTGAAAGATGATGGCCCGTGTCACGTTAAAATTTTTAAAATTGGCAATGCCGAAGGATTCCTGTCTTGACAATGAGAAAAAGATGTCTAGTGCAGAAATATGACATTTATTTATGTGACTCATAAGGGGAACATATATGTCAATTAAACTACGTTTTTCAATAGGCAGGTCACGTGTACATAGTAGATTACAAGGTGCTTGAGGGCATTCCAACTAGAGAGGGCACTTACTTGGCACAACCCTTGGGTCTGTTTTATGTCAACACTTCAGGCGACCTGGTTCCCATTGCCATTCAGTTTCTACAGCAACCAAGCGACACCAACCCAATATGGACTCCAAGTGATTCACAATATGATTGGCTGCTGGCGAAGATGTGGTTGCGTCATGCTGACACTCTAGTGCAGCAGGTATTTTTTAAGAGATCATGGTATTTTATTAATTGACCCTTTTAATACACTAGGCTGTACTTGATAAAAGGCTAGCGAAGGAGAGACAGCTCAAAAAGCATGGACGATGACGATACTTAGAATTGGAACTCATGGCCCAGTAGACATATTCATTTTATTGTCATCATTTGATCACGTTTGTCCCCCTTCAGTTCAGCAGGCCTAGAATTGCTACTCTACTATGCGTCTATCCTGGTAAATTATTGTTGAAAGGCCTCTTTGCCATGAAAAAAACTTTTTAAGACACATTATAAAAGCATCTAAACATGTTGACACGCTGATTTTGTACTCCTTTCAGGGTTGTAAATTATTTGCTCTAGACGATATAAGTACACCTTTCTTTAATCCCCTGCAGGTAAATACTCATCTACTCGAAACCCACCTTGTGATGGAACCATTTGCTGTGGCGGTGTGGCGTCAACTTCCCTCGATTCACCCCGTTTTTCAACTCCTTTTTCCACACCTTCGCAGTGTGATGGCAATTAACAATTTCCTTAGAACTGGCTTTGTAGCTGAGAACAAAAGAGCCCAAGAGATACTTAAGAAAGGTTTCAAGGCTTTCAAGTTTGGTATGCTTTCGCTCCCCGACACGTTAAAAGAGAGGGGTGTTGATGATCCGGAAAAATTACCGAAGTTTTATTTCAGGTGATTGCTAATAAATGAACCTCAGAATCGTTTCTGAATTAAAACATTAATGAGCTACTTCTTGAATTTTTGTTGATGTCGTGAATATTTACTGCTTAAGAATAACTTAGGCTTTGCTAAGTAAACTAGTCACCTACGCCAAATTGGAAAAGAGTTCCAATGGGTGAAACATAAACGGTGATCTTTTATTCCACTAAATTTTTTTGAAAAGGAATGTTACAAGAGAAATAATTTAATCGTCATTATCAATGTTGATGTCATTGTCAAAACCCTAGTTGCCCGAATGAAATAACCAGTTTTCCGTTTTTAGGGACGATGCCCTCCGTTTATGGTCAGCCATTACAACTTTCGTCAAAGAGGTCATCATCCTTTACTATACGTCAGATGATGATGTTTCCAAGGACAGCGAGCTTCAAGCTTGGATTAAAGATGCTCATGACAACGGTTTTCAAGAGGGGGAGGGAGGCGACGACCACGGATGTCCAAACAGCCTTGAAACACGTGAACAACTTATCCACGTGCTAACATGCTTGGTGTTCACGTGCTCGTGTCAGCATGCCGCAGTCAACTTTGGTCTTTTGGATGTGGCGGGTTTTGTTCCCATTTCTCCCTCGGTGATGCGTCAACCGCCTCCAACGAAGAAAAACGAGACAACTCTGAAGTCCATCATGGACGCACTACCGAGCAAGTCTGAGGCTGCTCAGCAAGTAGCGCTGGGTTACGTCTTCACGCAATTTGCAGAGGATGAGGTAAGTTTCAAACAATCTGAGGTTCGAAGCCGCACAGTTGACTCAAAAAATATCTTATCGGCATTTGAGAACTTGAGAAATTCCGTTTGGAGAGGTTCGGGTTTGAGACACTTTACTTTTACAACGGCTCTCTTTCCACACTGGAGAAATAAAAAGATACCGGCGAACTGTCAGGGAAGTCTGATGAAATGCTTGTGGGTAACTTGCAGTGGACTGGCATCCCATTCAAGGGGGAGAACCATTAATCCTCCAAGTTGCACCATGCAACACAGACTAAGAAAAGCTCCACCTTCCGCCTTTCGGCCTGATTATTGACTAACCTTTATCTCTTTGTTAGAGAACTTCGTTACAGGCTTCCTCACTATCTCGAAGGAAACGAGTTTTTCCCAATCTTTTTTTTTGAAATTTTCTCGAAGAAACTAGTTTTACAGCTTGTTTGTTGCATCTCCTTTTCACTGATTTGAAACTGAATTTATTTTTCAATAAAGACAGCCTCGAAAAGAAACCCTGAAGATAACTGTTATTTAGCTAAAGAAGTTGTATTATGTAACACAACCCTTGTCATTTTTTCCATCATCAACAGCTGTGTTCTGCCAATAACTTTTCCCTGTATTCGAGATCAGGGGAAAGAAAAAAAAAAAACGATTGTCCTTGCTTGAGTAAATTTACTTGCAGTTTTTTATCACAACCTCCGTTTTCTTCCTCCCATAGCGTTATATAGGCGACATGACACACAGCCTTTTGACTGGGGACGAGGAAGATGCGGCCATGACTCGCTTCCAGGTCGCTCTGCAAGAGATCTCTGATTCGATCAAGGCCCGCAATGAAGCATTGGAATTGCCATACATCTTTCTCTTACCCGAGAGAGTTCCCAATAGTATTGGTGTCTGAAGCTTTGCTGGATCAAATATAAAAATTATCAATTTGTCTCAAAAACTTGTCGCTGTTACGTTCACGAGTTAGTTGTGCGGTGTATATGGCTTTTAACATAGGCGTCCATAGCGTATATATTTATATCGCATTTCTTCATTGTTGTTGTTGTTGTTGTTGTTGATTTTTAAATCTTAAACCTCTTGTCGCAACAGCTCTCGAGATTTGTTTATAATTTTGACCAATGCATAGCTAGTTACACCTATCCTGATCTCGGTGTGGGATCGTTGCCTTCAGTAAATGATTATCCCCCCTTTCAGTGAAGTATGCCTTATTTTTCTTTGAAAGTTAACATATTTATTACATTATTTACACTGATGGCAATTAAACACCATTTTTTGTATTTTATTTTTGCCTGACTTGGTGACAAGTTCTATTTTTATAAAAGCTTTTAAACTCAAGTCCTGATCATAAAATTGTTTCTTTTAATTACAGTGCGTTTACTATTTATTGCGTGACATATGCGCGGAGACTTCATGGAAATTAGCTTTCTTTGTATGTTCGATCCATTCTAGTTTATTTCTATATGCTTTTAACTCAATTCCTGATATTTGCTTGTTTGTTTGTTTTGTTTGTTTTTTAATTACAACACCATTTTTAGGCGAATATCTATTGCTAGCTGAGGGTCTTAGTGTGGTGATGGCTTTTAAGGCTAACAGTTAAATTTTGTCCATCTTAAGGTCAGGGTTAACCCAAAATGCCCAAAACAATACGTGACCTTATTTAACAACTCACGGTCAAAATATGTCAATTTTTACGCCGAATGGCTTATTTTTTTGGCCGCTTTTCAGCTAACGGTCAACTCCATTGAGACCCTTCTTCTCATTTTTCACACAGAATTCATAATTATTAGATTGGTTTTTGGAAAACATATCTCGCTAATATATGTGAGGAACTGTAATCCTTAGTTTGTTCACACTGTTCTAATATTAATGTTGTGAGGTCCTTGCTTGCCCAATATTGCCACATAGACAAGCTCGGCTGTGCTATCTGCAAGAAGTAATTTTTATTTCGAACGTCAAGTACGTGAGAGTGAATCAATAGTGAATTAAGAACGGTTAGAAGAAGAATTATGCAACGGAACAATAACATAAATTTCCAATCGGAAGTTCTGTCGATCCTTTGCAATTGAAAAAAAGATAACCTGAAATCCTGTGTAATTAACCATAAGATACGTGACTTCCCATAATGACGTCGAATTTGGAATACTTGCTCTCGTATCATTTACACGTGGGCTCATCAGAGCATAACCTTTGTGACAACGCTGACAATCAGTTTTTCATTATTTAGACTTGACGAGAGGGATTGGAACGGACTAAGGGTGTATCGTACCTAATTATGCAGTCTCTTTCATTTCACGCTCGAAGCTATAAATATTCTTATCCTTGACTCGACTCTGCTGTCACACCTGATCATCCACTCGAAGGGGCACGTTTTGAAACAGAATTATTTGCATTCGAGGTAAGTTTCAAGATTTATTTCTTAAAGCCCAGCCGTAAGTTCCGCTGTTTATATTTTTGCTGTTATTGTTGGATACTGTTTAGATCAGTTATAATTTGGGTGTTAGGGTGAAGAGAAGTGACTACCAAAAATACACCTTTCCGCCAGCTAGTATCTTTGAATTCCCAAATTGCTCCGTGCGTTTCTTGCGGTGCTTCACCGTGCTTGTGTCGATATGGTGATAGAAAAAGGGTTATACACTTGTAAGTTATGAGACAACGGCACAACTGGCGAATTCTTTCATCATTTCAAGCTAGTAAAGCATTAATCTCCCTTCTCCGGTGTTTCTCCATGGTTTCATTATTTAAAGAAAGGAACACTAATCCTTGCTATCAAACTGGGCGAAATCTTGATGTTGTGTATTGGTCGTTTGCATTCCTCTCCCTCTCTCTGCAAATTTGATGATATTTCCGGTAAAGAATTTTGATGTAAACCCTTATTGTTTATTATTTGTTAAACGAGACTATGGCGACGATAATGCATTATCTTTAGGACAAATGCCTTGTCTATCGCAAAGCTCGATCAGGTCGTTTTCTTCCATTTTTTTTTTTTTTTTGACGTAGTTAAAAGGAAATACTTGGAGTGAAATTAACGTCCACAGTAGTTCTATGTTTTTTTTTCCTTTCGAAACTCGCCAGTTCCGTTTGTAACTCACGTAGAGTATTTTCCATTTCCAATTTTTAAGCCAATTAGCTTGAAAATAATGCAAAAAAAAAAAAGCTTCGAAAAGAAATGCTTTTTCGTTCAAATAACTAAGCTAAGTGTTTAACGTTCTCCCCAATTTATAATTTGTTAGAATATTTTGGTACCAGTAAATCAAATTGTTCATTGAAAATTTCATGCGTCCTAGGCTGTTGACCTAATATTGTAAAGAGGTCAACTAAAACGAGAAACACGATTCCATTTGGCCTAATTAGTAATCGACGACGATAAACAATTCTTAGCTCGATCACGTATTATCTATGAGTCGTAGAGCCCAAGCTTTCATGATCCATTCGTAGCCTTTCTCAGTCGTGGTGGAGTTACTGGAACATCTGAGGCAAGTAGTAATATCACTTTTGATAGTTCAAGCCTTGAAATTGTGTATACTTTTTACCATTAGTCGGAGCCTGCGAAAGCGTTTGTAGATAATTGCTTTATGTATTAACGCTATTCTTTGTTTTACAACGCTCCACACTTCCATTGCCGTACTGCCGCCTTGCGAATTACGTCTTGCCTAGCGCCTTGCATTTGTTCAAACATATATGGAGCCTTTGATATTTAACACAAACAACCTAAACAGACACGGGCTTATTATTCCGTCTGATTTTTCCGCTACAGTTGGCTCATTAAGACTTTCAAACGAACTGAAAAATTGCGGAATCGAAGTGCGATAAAGCTTCGGATGGATACATACGTTTTCAGTATATTAGCTTTCTCCATGCTGAAGCATCGTTTCGGTTCCTTCTGCGCGGATATCATTCTTTATTTAACACGGTTTTCAAACGTGTTGAACTATTCAAGTGTGTGTGTTTTTTGTTTTTTTTGTTTCCGTTAAGAGAGAAGAGCTCCGCGAGAATAGGAAGTCGAATGTACCCTTCAAATCAATCTGAACAACTCTTACCAAAAAGAATGAAGTTGTGGCGGTACCAATCGGTACTTAAAGCTTCAGTGTTGCGTTACATGCCAACCAGCTGTCACAAAACCGCAAAGATGCCTTTAGTGATTATTTTACCATGAAAAACAATTCCAGTGACTTGATTAGTGAACAACAATTACTGAGAGTGGTGTCATCAATCAAAAGACTCTCGATTTGCCATAATTTGTAAGTTTTTTTTTTTACCGTCATCTTCTATTGGAACTTCTATCGTTCCGAGGAAAAAAGGCAAAATTTTAAGGTACGGGCCAAGACCAAAGAGAAATGTTGACGAGAAATGACTTGTGACGCCGTCACAAGGTCATTTCATATTTCCTATCGTTTTATTACGCTTCTATGGGCCTGGAGGCGTTTAGGTTCTCAATCATTTGTCTAACTTTGGTAGCACAACAAGTTTTCGTCCAAGCCGATTTATTAAAACGCCTTTGGATGCCTTTTATCGGCTCATTATCGAAACATGAATGCATAGTCGTCGACTAATGGAATGAAATGCAGTTACACCTACATAAATATCGATAACTCAACAAATACTTTATTACCAATGTCACTTTTACTGTCTCTCACCCTTTTCACTCTCAAGATCTCACTAGCGATTCTCTTTACTGTCTGCTATGCAATTCTTATGACGCTAGTTTGGAGAACTTGATATTGGATCAACTGATAGTCCCCTAGTTTACATATTTCTTTATTCTTATCCCTTTTCCGCTCGATATCATATTGATGTTGTAATTAAATGGGTCTCGTTCAATGGGTTGTTGGCTTTTATGGCTAACGTTTAAAATTTTTTAGCCATTTTACGGCTAGCGATTCATTTCTTTCCTATGCGGTCACCAGAAAAAAATTACGGATAACTTTTTCTACGACCTGCTTACGGTTAAAGTGTATGAAGTTTTACGCCTAACGGCTGAATTTTTTTTTGCCATTTTACGTCTAACGGTTAACCCCACTGAGACCCTCCAGCTTAGGAGAAATTCTGTTTTGATCAGGGTGAACGATTGAAGATGCATTCAAAGTTTTCTGTCCACTCGCTTAGTTGTCATGCGTTTAAGAAAACTCAATATCTGCATGCAGTTCTTGAAGTAATTTTCCTAAACAGCATCTAAAATCGTGAGAAAACCCGTTCCGTTACATTAAGCAAACACGCAACACTCATCAACACTGAATATATAAATATTCAAGCCGAAGGGTGCCAGAGAGAACAACTGTACGCTCCAATATGCTTCTTTGGTAATTAAAAATTTCTCGACAGTAAACAATTCAGGTAACATCGAGAAACTTCTAATTATCAAAGAAGCATATTGGAGCGCACAGTTGTTCTCTCTGGCACCCTTCGACTTGAATAAGCGCCAGGAATTTCACTCCAAAAAAAGAATAAACTATAATTAATGCGGAGAATTTTTTCAA